ATGGCCGACTCGTTGTTCTTCGACGACCGGAGCACACTGTCTTGAATGCTGGCAAAAATGTCTTCGACATTCGCGGACATTCCAGTTGTCGGATGCCAGGCTTCCAAGAGCTCTCGCCCTGCAGCATCAAGTTTCCAGCCCTTTTCTGACAAAAACGTCGGGACCTCGCGAAAGCACATGTAGCCCACCCATGGACACGTCTTGTAGAGGATCTCCCGAGAGGCCACATCATCCTCCATCTCCAGAACCAAGGCCCACTCTTGCCTCATCTCTTGTTTGATCCTCTCCTGCAGGTCTGCATCAGCCTTGGATCCTGTCGTGTCCACCAACAGGGCACCATGCTTGGCGGGCGGGCTCTGCAGATAAAGGCCGTAAAGGCTGAGCTCCAGGATGCACGTCAAGGTAGCACACCAGTGATCCGAGATCAAAGTCTCTGTGGCCTCGGGGCGGCGACTTCTGATCACCAACACCTGCCACAGAGCTCGGAATGCGTATTCTGTTGCCATTTATTGTGTGCTCCTAAGTCAGAATTAGAAACATGGAGGAATTCTGCTACTGCTGGAATTCATAGCTCGAAGATAGTATAAGTTTAGGATTTGATGTACTGACGAGCTTTAGAAATAATAATAGTAACAACAATAAGGATATATAATATTAAAATAATACTGAGTAATTGGTTTTGCCCTGGGCTCTGAATCTGTGTCCCTGTGTACGTACACCGCCTCGCGAATGAGAGCGGCTAAGCCGCCTCGCCAATGAGAGCGGGTAAGCCGCCTTGCCAATGAGAGCGGCTAAGCCGCCTCGCATTGAAGCGAAGCAGAGCGGCTCAGCCGCCTCGCATATAATCCAAGCAGAGCGGCTCAGCCGCCTCGCAGCCCGGAAAACCGAAAACGAGAGCGGCTCAGCCGCCTCTCTTTCTCCGAAGAAGATATCGCATTCAAGCGAAGCAGAGCGGCTCAGCCGCCTCGCATATAATCGAAGCAGAGCGGCTCAGCCGCCTCGCAGCCCGGAAAACCGAAGACGAGAGCGGCTCAGCCGCCTCTCTTTGTCCGAAGAAGACACTGCCTCGCAAATGAGAGCGGCTCAGCCGCCTGGCAGTATAGCCGAAGCAGAGCGGCAGAGCCGCCTGACTGTATGCTGCCGGACAGCGACTGAGGAGCGGATTCGCGATTTCATAGTACGTGAAACCAGACCGTATAGGCGAAATCTGAGAATGTCTCAGAACGGCGTATTCGCGATTTCTCCAGGCGTGCGTGAAGCGGAGTCGCGACTTCCAAGAGCCGGAGAGAAGCGGATTGGCGATTTGTGGAGAGCTGGACAGAACCGGATTCGCGATTTCGCAATACGTGAAACCAGAGCGTATCGGCCAAATTGAGTGTGTCGTATTCAGCGTGTCGAGGAAATCTCACAGTGTGTCAGAACGGCGTATTCGCGATTTCTCCAGGCGTGCGTGAAGCGGCTTCGCGACTTCCGACAGCCGGAGAGAAGCGGATTGGCGATTTCGGGAGAGCTGGAAGGAACCGGAGTTGCGATTTCGCAAGCCCAGAAGCTCAGTCCGTCCCACAAAGCATCCCTGTGCCAAGCATGATAACGTGCCCACAAAGTCCGTCCCTTCCAGTGTCCATGTGCCCACCATGATAGCATCCCCAGACACTCCGTTTTTCCACAAAGCATCCATGATAACGTCCCCACAAACTCCGTCCATTCCACAA